TAATTTGCACACTGAAATAATTTTCAAATTATGCGTCTATTGAACTAATCCTTATTCAATGAGGATTATTTGGTGCCCAATAACGTAAATTCCATAAATTGACATTACCGGTAAACGTTGCTTCATCCGTAAACAATACGTTTTCTAAAAAAAACTTTTATTAACACTTGCTGCAAATTGTACTCGGTGTTGAATGTCGGAAGCTGTAAAGGATATGAGTATATTTGATGGGCGCTAAGAACTCGAAGTAAACTTGATTGACTAATTCTGGATTATCGAGAAATCTGTCGTATATAAACATGCATTCTACAGCTTTCAATACAGCATTTCCTTCATTGGTACTAGTACAGTTCCTCATAGTATAATTTTTTAACATTCTACGTATGTAAAGCAGTCCATCCCGCTTAGACCTCGATCGACACAGAAGTTTATTTCTAGTGGAACGTGGATCATCACATAAACATCGTAGTAGAAACTGAACGATAACAAGATTTCTGGATATTCAAATTACAGTTTAAAAATTACAGTCCTAACTTCGCCCACGAATTTTTGGAATTGGGATTATCTCAATAACAGAATGTGATTGACTCTAAATCCAAATGTAAGATAATAACACCGATGTATATAAACATTGTCGAATCTTCCGACGATACTATGCAGTTTTCATCCTCGAAACAAATTATCGTAAAATATCTCTTTAACTATGAAGTTTCGAATCAATGTCGAATTAATATCTTCTTACTTGGAATTTTTAATATTCTTTCGATTCATGATGAACAAAATATACGGTCCAATTTGAAAAAAATAAAGATGAACTTGGAAATTTCGAAACCCCTTGACACACACAAAGAACTGATACTTTAAATTTTGCCTCTCTTAAAACCATTGCAAAAACAATTTTTCATTAAACGCATAATTTAAAAGTTATCTCAAGTGTGCAAGTTACGCGAATCACACTGTATAAGTGTCTATACACTAATTTAGTAATCTAATTTAGCATGCTGCTACAAATGTGGAATGTATAAATTTATCCTAAAAGATGTGTGAGGGATCGATTATATAATTTTAAATAGAAATGAAAGTTCTGCTACAATTCGTGTACTTGATTTTAGCTGATTCCTAAAAAGCAGTGAATAATCGACAGGAGATTATTCCGCGTAAGAAAATAAACGAAAAATAAAACTTTTCTGTTTAAGATCTCGTTCTTCAATTTCAACAGATTTTTTTTTTTTAAATCGGCTTGATAAACTTCCAAATTTAATTTTCTCCTCAAAACTAAGCATTCCCACGAGAGAACATTTATCTTCTCTTTTCCAATCCGAAATTAGTAATTCAAATATATTGACTTGACGAAATTAGGTTTTCTCAAAAACAAAGTTTCAGATCAAAAAATGCTGTTCCTTTTTTGTTTTTTTTTATTTATCTTCTCACGTAAAATCACTTTCTGTCCAGTTACATCCCGTATATGACAAGATTCGAACTCGAATGTTTCTCGTTAGTCGAATGAATCGTTTTATAACGAATCAGGTGACTGTCAAGTATAAGATAGATTTACAATGGGTAGTCAGAGTTATTTTTAAGTAACGTGTAATTGCAGCAGAGAAATGCACGTGCTGCACTGGAACGTACAAGTTTCATTATCGATGCGACTCGCGCTGCATTTTGAGCAGTTGCCTCTTTCAGGAACAACATTCCGAAACATTGTTAGTTGAGGGTAAAAAAAAAAAAACATAGAAAAGATATACAAGTTGCGTTGCTGGAATTTTCGATCTTCTCGTCGATTCTCATAAACTTTGCGCTACTTTTACAATCTATAACATTTTGCAATTAAAAAGAAAGTGAAATATCCGTATTTTTTCAATATTGTTCTACTCTAGCCATTTGTAACTATTAGATTTTTAATTGAAGCAAATAGTGCAATTAGCTTCTACGTAGACAGCCAAAATGATCAACCGGAATTAAGAATTTCTGTATAATTTGCTTTGCTTATCGTGTCAATAAGGGCCTAAATAAATTGGAAGTTTAATAGTTTCAAACATATAACTTTCTTCACAGAACGTGAATCTACGCGAAAGCAACATTGCGATTATTTGTCAATCCGTTGAGCAATAATTTATTATAACATTATAAATTTCATAAAATCCAAGTGATGAAAAGAACGAATGCTGAAAATTTTCTTTTGTAGCCAATATTAAAAATCTATTGAAACGTACAAATTCCTGGAATGAAATATAGAAAGCGGATACTATCTGGAGTCTCTGGACAGTCTCTTCTTCTTTTATAGACAGTCACATTGAAGACGATCTCATTCTGTGTAATCGAATCGATTTTTTCTATCGATCTCTCCCTCTCGAGGAACAAATGTTCGGCCTTTCGATCGAAAGTTTCAACGAAGCGGATCAAGAATAAATCTGCGAAGGGTCGCCCCGTTGTTCCAAGCAGAAAAGGGCTCTCGCCCGTATTTCAGTAAGCGTTAGCCTGTGTGCTCACGATCGAACGAACAGACACGCCGGCTCTGCAAACCTAAATTCGTTATTGACCTTGACTGTCAGGTTCATGCTTCGAAGATCAGCTTATTGGCTCGCCCTTTCGTCTCGATAAGCGTCCACGGAATGCACAATGGCCATTATTTCGTCTGGTCAAAAGACCAAGGCGTAGACAATATTCATACTGATTCATCATATCAATGCTGCAGGCAGCACGGATATGGGTTGCCAATGCAACCAACTCTGCTCTGCAATTGTTCTTCACGTACAAGCGTAAATAAACAATCCGAACAGGTAAATAAACAAACAATTCCAAAAAGGCAAATAAACAAATCAATAATACGCAAACAATAGCGTTACGTAATTAAACTGCAGGTTTATTGCGTGTAGTTTCAGATTTTTACGAACAAAGTGGGAGCAGAAATTTTTTTTTCTTTTTTTACGCATTTATCGCGAAATTTAAAACTACATGAAAATACATGAAACACACATGATACACGAATGTATAAAATATCCAAAGAGGAGTATTTCGTCACAACTTTTAAAAGAATCAAATTTTTTACGTAAGGTTCCGCGTTTCTTCCCTTTTCAGTTTCTGCTTGTAAAAGTGCGAAACTGCATGGAAATTCAGAATTTTACCAAACACTTTACTTTCAACGTTTTATGCATTTTTAGCGCTGTTGCACACAGCACTCGGCATCTCTTCGCATCTTTAAATTTCTCATAAATACGTACAGTAAACCTGCGGTTCGATAATGACACGAAAATGAAACCTGTTCCACGTGATATTTAAAGTTTCAACGGCTGGTTTCCCGTTGGCCCGTCGACAGCCTCGCTGGAGTTTACAGCTGTAAAAAGAATCTTATTATCTAGTTCCGTATTTCTCTTTATCGGTGAAAGTCTCTTACTTGTCTTTATCAATGCCGGTGAGATACGTCGATGTTATTCAAAAATTATAACGACGGTGATGCTTGAGTTACACGGAAAGGCCATTTGTTGCTGCGTGGTCGTGGATGAAATTGATCTGTCGACCGGATACACGCGCACGAGGACGGGGCTATGATTAATAGATAGTTTCGGGTCGTTCGATGATACTTTTATCTTCCTCGTCGAATCTTCGCCGGGCAATTTTGTGGGATGGCTACCAAACACGTTGGGGTTGAAGGGAGGAGGGCTCGCGCAGAACGGCTCACGGGAAGCCATAAAATCAAATTAAACCGCTCTGATCCGATAGCCGAAGCTTAAACACCAGCCTCTTCTCTGACGAACAATTCGCGTCGCTACGATAAATCAGGGCTTACCTCGGAGACTAGGCTTTTTCGCATCTGCCCGTTTCGGCGGTGTTCTACTCGCGGGCAGCCGCGTCGGGAACGCGAACATTCCTATGCTGACCAGCATCAGCATGGCAGATATTAGCACCAAACCTGAAAATACACGATACTTCTGTAAACTTCTTCTGTTCTCCTTTCGTTTCGTGTTCTTTGCAATTTTGCAACTTTTTTTTTTTAACTGAGGATGACAAGTTAACTTGTCGTTGAAAAATTAAAAAAAAAAAAGAGTTAATCAGTTTGCGCGCTAGAAAAGAAATTTTCCAACGACGAGTTGACTCATCGTCCACCGTTTAAAGAGTTCGAGAAAGATATATACATATATACAGAGAGATAGATGAGAAAGATCTTGCAATATGGAAATCGAAGGAAACAGCGATTAATCATTAAACAAAGGCTGAAAAGCTTGCTGTCTCGAGGTGAGACGAGATCGTAAGGAAGTACGTAAGAAATTTCAATTTACCAAGCCACCATGCTCCGACCCATCTCGGGTCCGTCGGCGTGATTTGCGGATTCGCCGACAAATCCGCGTAAATCATCGTGCACAATGAGCCGAGGATGAAGCCTAGGGCCGGTCCGAGGATCCTCACTCCGATCGTAATCGCTGCAACAAAATCCATCCGGGGCCGTGTCCCGTGAGTATGCAAATTCTCGACAACTTTGAAATTCTGACGATAACATAACAATGAGCCCGAGATGCTCGAAATCAAAAGTTCGTCCGGTCGTTTCGCGAAGGCGAGGCTTCGGAGCAACGTTCAGCTTTCGAACGCGTACTCTCATTCTCTTTGATCTCTTTTCTTGCAAGTATGTATTAAATCGTTGAACGTGAAATGATTGATTTTATAAAAAAAAAAATTTAAAAATATCTAACATTTATTCAACTTATTAAATATTTATTAACTTTATTACTTCAAATTGCCATGATTTCCAGGTAATTTGAAAGTCAACACACCGTGCATGTCTGAACATTTTTTTTCGGCTACAATAGTACAAAAAAGAAATGAGTTTGTTGGAAAATATCATGAACTACAATATATTTCAAACTGAATAACTTTAACACATATTTTTGCATCGATGAAAAAATACCTTGGATATTTATCATTAACAATTTATTAATTCGTTAATTTGTTATTCAAAGTTTAAAGCCTGTCGAGCTATAATTTTACCGGTGCTTCGCAGATATCGTTCTACTATAAATGTAAATTATGCATGAAAATGAATATCGAATTCGAAATGCACTTTGCGTGAAACTTAAAACTTCGACCTAATTTAATAAAAGTTGCTTGTAACTGGTTTCCGAAGAGCTACATCAAGAGAACAGATAATATATTGCACGCTTACCAGGAAAGTAACATACACAATTCAAAAAAACGTGTTATTACTACGAGAACGTAGCAGAGACACTCCTTGACTATTAATTGTGAATATCTTAATCACTTATCTCTATAATTTTGCCGATAGAAAGCAATTATATCCCTCTATTTCATTCATGCGACACTGTACTGTGTTCTCTAAACGCTCATCATGAATTTTATTTATTATTATGAACAAGTGCATATTCATAAAGTAAAAAGTATATGGATTTTGAATTAATATTTTCTTTTGATTGACAAAAATAATATCTGATTCTGTTCAGTATGTTTCGTTTCTCTTGAGAAAAGATTATTTTCTCAATCATACGTCACGTTTTCATTATCGCGGAATTTTATTAAAATGACAGAACATACAGGAAACTGTATTTAGCATGACAAACAAAAATGTTTTCATTTATTTTATAAGTCATGAAGATCTTTTCCACGGACTGAAACAGAAATATATATAGTTAAAAGTGCCTTCTTACTTCTTAATTTCAATGGTTCGAAACATCACGGAATTATTTATATTGAAAAGAAATCGACTGAAATAAATATCGAAATAAACTGAAAATTCCTTTCATTTGCATTTGAATATATTGAAAACATTGATTGTTCTATTATCAGAAAATTTCATTGACCGAACACTTTTATCACCTTATTAATTCGTTAGTGAGAATCTTGATGAACTCTTGGCCGAGATCAAAATTTCGTTAATATTATAAGTTCGAGAAAGTTACAAAGTTGATTAAGAAATTGATGTTCATGTAGAATTCAACCATTTCAACAGTGACAACCTGATATAACAAAGTATAATAGAAACACGAGGTACGTATTCTTACCGAAATAGAGCGGGCTTTCTCTGCTGGCCACATTATCATCGATGTAAGGTATACCAAGGGTGTAGACCGCTGTCTGACCCATTCCAACGCCTAACAAGGAGACGAAAAATATAGCCAGGACCACTGTGATTATTTTACTCTGTATTCTCTGCTCTGTCAACGAGTCACCCTTGCAGTAGTTCATCGTGTTCATTTGAGCCGGCGTCGTAGATGAGATCCAACTTTGAGAGAAAAGGAACATTGTCAGTAATGCCGGTTCGAATAAATCAGAAAACGGGGAAACGCATGGTAAAGCATATTTCACATCGCGAGGCAAATTCTACGCATTCGCTCGCAAAAATCTCACGAGGATTTATCTGCAGAATATAAATATCCAGAGCCAGAAGCCATTATTGTAATTTAGGAATCCTCTTTCTTTCACGCAACCAACGTAAGATATAAATGCAACCATGCAAACTGAAGAGTTAAATCATCGTTTTTATGGTGGTGTGATTTCTCAGAGAATTAAATTTATTGAAAATTTATGCGAATAAAAATTACTGATTCCAATACTTTCAATGCATTCATATTTCTTCCTGAACGTAATGTAATCTTAGAATAGAAGATTGATCAACTATTACGTATTCGTGAACTTCAATTCAACAAAGATCGCCAAAGATCTAATTCTATATTGTGTTATTATTATTTGTGCGATTTAGACGGAGATTTAGTTGAAATAATTTTCATTTGAGCTTAATAAAAAAATGTTGCATAGCATGATAAATATCACTTGTTAATTGCTCCTTTTATTTATACACGCGAAGAGCAGGTGGATAGGTACTGAGACCTGACCCATTTAAAAAAAGATACTATCGATTATAGTATCTTCAATAAGGCAGATGGGAAAAAATGGGGAGGACGGAAATTGCATAATTTCGAAAGCGTGCTTTTCGCCCCAACGGTATCTAGAGTTTTGCAAAAATTTTAAAAATATGCAAATTTGAATAATTGAATAATTTCGAACATTTTCGCATAACTCTTTGTACGAATCTAGGATTATCTCAAAATCGTTTGGTTCCATTTTTTGTAATTTGATCTCGAACTATCCTCACTTTAGGTACACAAAAAAATACTGATTTTAGAAAATTCTAAAATAACTTCGGAAATCGATATCAGAAAATTCTGAAATAAAAATTGAAACTCGTATGCTCATGTGTAATAAGTTAGATTATGCTGTCCACATATTTTTCATGCGAACCATTTAACGAGAATGATTAAGCATGCTTGACTTTGATTAAATATAATTCTATGTATTTATTTTAAAGAATGGTAATTTATGTTATTTAGAATTGTTATTATTAGATTATGGAATGTTACGAATTTGAAACTTGGCTTGAAATGTATATCATTCATTGGGACTGAAAAAGTTAGTTATAACAAAATATATTATGTGAATCATACGCTTTTTAAAAAAAATTTTTGGTGAGTATGTTAGTCAAAATAACCAACATACTATTGAAGAAAGTTTAATATTTATTTCCCAATAAGATACTTTACACTTTCTCAACAGTGACAGAGTATTAAAGAGATTATTGTTCCATGTATATTCGTTTGTAATATTATCTTATAATATTAATTGCTTTTTAATACAGTGAAGCACTAATTGTAGTTAATAGAATAAATTTTATTTATTTTATGCATCTAGTTTTTTTTTCGTAAGAAATAGTAAACTAAATAATGAGCAAAAATACATAAAGTTCGTATTCGGTATTCTAATATTTTTGACGACTTCAAACTTCTTCATTATAACTTGTCGCTCGTCTGTAAAATCTAAATTTCCTCTGACTAAAATAATCACTGCAATATATTAAAAGTTAATTCAATAAGACTATTACAAACAAATATAAAAGGAAAATAATCTTTTGAATAGCAGTAGTATTTACAATACAATCTCTCTATATGATTCACTAGGACTGGAAGGATTAGGTTTTTTTACAAAATTCAATCAAAAGGCAAGAAATTAATTAAAATTAATCGTACGGAAGATAAGAGATCCCACTCACCTATCCAAAGTAACGTTCTCAGATCGATCCTGCAGTTTGCAAAGATTCGTGGAGTCACCACCCTCGATACCGCTGAAAAACATCTCGTTCTGATGGATCAGCTGTTCACCAAAGATGAAATGGGGCATGGAGCAGGTGAACGAGCTCACCGCGAACAGGATCATGCCCCAAGCGATCCACTTAGGCCGGTGACCTTGGCCCCCGTAGTATGTAAGCAGGAGAGAGGAACCGATCTGGCCGATCTCCGTCGCTGACATTATGATACCGGTGGTCTTCGACTGAATCTGGAACAGCTTCTCGATCGTCGTGATCACCGAGACGAAGTACGTGTAGTACATTCCCTGGAGGACCTGTAAACCCAGACGCGGCTTGAATTTAAAACCAACCAAGAGTTACAACTCTTCGCTGCGGTCTTTGAATTTTTATATGCCAACCTCGTTCCCGTTTCGACGAACAAACAAACTTTGAACGTTTCCAGGGAGAGAAGATTCTCGCGAAAAATTGAAACAAACAATCGCGGAAAGTTTCTTCGTTTTCTGCCTGTATTGGTGGAAGAAAATACAATTCTTCGATCGTGCGATAATTCTTACTCGCGCGAAGTAAGTTCCATTACACTCGATAAACGTTCGTGCATAAATAGTTTTGGTATATTTATCAACAGAAGAAATATAATTTGATAAAATGAAATCGACGGAATTTCATATCAAAGATATCTATTGAAATGATCGCGTAATGAGAGAATATTCATCGAGTGTAATGGAGTTTACTTTGACGAATAAAAATTATCGTACAATTGTGTTCGGTTTGTGATAACGTTTTCATCAACCCTGTTAACAAAGACCGTTTCACATTTTCTTCCAGCGTAAAAAAACTTTTCAAACAAAAGTACGAATTTAAATTACTACAAGCTTCTAATTTCTTTCATAGAAAGAAAAAAAAAAGAAGGAAAAACCAGAACAAAAGTTTAAAATAGAAATTTTAAAAGCGTCCTCCCTCTAGAGAGTTCGTTTCACCAAAAACCAAGGGGCGAAAAAATCATCGGAGAGACTTCTCTCGTTCGCTGAATCGAGAAGCCAACCCGAAAGAAGCTAAACCAACCCAAGTGATGCAGAAGGTGGCCAGGAAGGCCTGCTTCGTGGCGAAATACTGCAGCCAGTGTGGCCTGCACGGGCCCCAGCCGCACGACACGTCAGCGTCGTCGAACTCCGTGTGAAGGCTGCTCGATTTCTCGTCGGACATGATCAGCTTCCCGTTCTCCGTCGCGGAGATCTCGTGTACTTTCCCGTTTGGTATCGAGCCATTGTTGTTGTGCTGTCTCCCGCAGATCAGCCCGTTCCCGTTCGCCATCTTCGGCGGGATTATCGTCAGTGCCTCGACATTTCCGTTCGCCAGAATCTGAGTGTCCTCGCCCGCCATTGTCTATCACGACGATCGATCGACTTCGCTTCGCTTCACCAGCAGGCTGTCCTCTTCTTTTCCCACTTTCTCTTCGCACCCTCTAGCCAGGATTCTTCCTCGTCGGAGGACCTCCACGACCGTTCAAACGATTTTCATTCGAACGGTCAACCTACGTTCGCAGAGAAAGAAATCGTTTATTAGTTTACGATATATTTTTCTTTTCATGCATGGAAGCGTATTTTAACGCGTAAAAGAATTATATTACATCGTTACATATTGATCCTTAAGTGATATCGCGAATGATCAGAGTAATTAATAATAACGTTAACAAAGATCTGTATTTTAATTTTAATATTTTGGCTAAATTTGAAATATTTCGATTTTGCTTGATGTATTTTATATTAGTAATAGAATTCAAGTCAAATCAACAATTCCGAGATTGAGGCAACGTAAAACATAAACTTCTGATGACCTGGAATATCCAACAGTAACAGTAAAAACGGTTAAATACGTTAAACAACTATACATTATTTTTGACAGGAATTTATAGTCTTATTAAACTGTTAAAAAAATTAATCTCGTTAGCTTTATCCGTTTGAATCAACAACATCGTCGACGTTTGTTCGCGATTCTCGGTAGACTAATTTTTACCGAGGATTTTCCCGCCGTGGGGAAAAAATACGATTGCAAGGTATCCACGAATAAATCGTCAAACTCGCGGCGGTGATTTATCATTCTGTTGGAAACGCTTTCGAGATACACTTCGTATTTTTGACCATGTAACTTACGCGCGTCACGGCGATTATTTATAACGGCGATCTCTCCAGTCATCCACCATGTTTCTACGAAATCGCGATTGGCTTTGTTCCACGGTGAACGAGATTCCACCTTGACTCCAAAAATTGCCCCGAAACGCGAAAAACAACGAGCTAAAAATCTCCATGGACTTTCCTACGGAACGGTTGAAAAGTTCTCTCGCGATTGTTTTAGAAAGTAATCTAAGTTAGTGCGCGTACAGGATTTGGGATTGCAAATAAAAGGGACAAGAGCACGGTGCGACAGATATATCCTTTCTCCGTGTGACTGACAGGAAGGAAGCCACGCTGACTGAAACCGCCTGTAGCCGGTGTCCTCTCACTTTCATCGGTGCCCGACTTTTCTCATTTCCCTCGCGTTCCATTGCACCGACTATCCTGGACCGATGCGGTTGGTTTTCACTGACAGTGAGTAGGAGTCTGCAGACTAGAACGCGCATCTGGCTACACAACGGGTGCTCCGAAACTACTCTTTCCCCATTCCTGCATTTCTCTCACTTCCATTTGCACAGTTTAATATTACGTAAATTAATTCGTATATATAAGATTAATACCGTGTACGTGTAACTATACCTTAATAATGCACAATTGTGTAAACATATGAATAAATATAACAAAAAATTACATGAACGCAGTAGTATAGAATTATACCATCCTTTGCAATTGTATTCAATTTTTGGGCAGAAGCGATGCTGATTAGAGATAATTCTAATTTATTTCATTTCACGTACACTGATATAATAATACTGATCATAAATAATAAACTAAATCTATCATTTCTTGTTTCAATTTTAGATACACACGTGTAAGAAAGAAATGTAGATTTTATGTACACTCTGTATATTGCACGTCACTTGTTTCTACTATTTATTTAGTGATCTGCCTTTTAAAATTTCAAGAAGCTCGCAGAGCTTTTTCATTTGTCAAATGTAACACGAGTTTCTCCATTTCTTTTGGATTTTTCAGTACATTATATGCGTCACAGCGATTTCTAATAATTTCGCAATACTGTTAATATTATACCTTTCTGTCCTAAATAGAATGATTCGATCGACTTTACTTTCATCTAACACTTTCCCTCGGTCTATTACTTCTTCATCTCTTGGATATGTGAATAGTGAACTAGTATTACTAATAATATACTATATAGTATATACAATAATACAATATCTAAAAAATATAATACGTATATATATTCTCCATATACTATATTATTATTGATATATTATAATAATGGCACTTCTATGTCTATTCGAAATGTACTGATAGAAATCGTAAGAATGGAAAATACGCCAAATATTCTTACACGTTCTTAATATATAAAATAAAAACATACAAAATTCATGCGTGTTGTATACATTATAAATTTAATATGTTACATTTAAATCTTGTATGTTGCACGTGTATAAATTTACAAAGAAAAAAAAAAAAAAAAAAAAAAACCTACAAAAAGAGTGATCGATTGTATCTCTCAGTTCCGATTTAATGAGAAGAACATGTTTGTTACACTATTCGTTATAGTATATATATATATGTACTCCACTGCGTAAAACGATTTGACACGCAAAACATTTTCTTAACCAGGCTGTTTATTTTTTCACTATATTCAGAAAGATATGAATTCGCATAAATATCTACAGTCTCGAAGCGTCGCATGAACGATATCGCGTGGTACGTATTTCAATATTTGCACGTGCAAATGCAAAAGTAAACTAATGAATCGAGCACGTCACAATTGTACAGTGACGTTTCCACCGAAAACGTTTCAAACGACGCGCACGAACGGAGAAGCAGATCTGTCGGCGGCGCGCGAATTTCGTCGGAGGAGGAAATGATTCGAGAGCCGTACAAAGTCAAGAAACTTCCCTGTCGAAGAGGCTGGCGCATGATAATAAAGCGACGAGGAACGGCGCGCGAGCGGATTTTATTTCGACGTTAATTGGCCGAGCAGCGAAACCGACCCCCGAAAACACTGTCCAAGAATACGAACGTGTTTACGGCGAAATGTCGTTCCGCCGCGCCATTGACCCGTTAATGTTCAAACGTGTCGCGCGCTGTCTCCCCTCGTGTATTTCACACGTGTCGAGGGAACCTTATGCAAATCCATTTTATCCGATCGGCATTTAAATCTCGAGGGAATTTCCAACAATTCCGTCAGAGGGGAACTTTCGTTTCCGCGTGTCGTTCCGATAAAGTTCAACTTGATTTCTTATTCTTTCCGGTGGTGTTCTTCGGCGAATATGAATACGAGTATGAATTACTTTGACAACAATAGCGAATTGCTACGACCATATTAACATTTTCAAATTTATTATAGACTGTATCACTTACGATGATAATGGATATTTATTGTTTCTTCAGGAGATTAAATAACGATCTGTGAATGCCAATTTTTTTTTTTTTTTTTTTTTTAACAGACATGCAACTCAAGTGTTAATTTGAAGATTGCCCTATTTTCAATATTTTCTTTCCAATGAATTCGGGGAGCATTCATCAGTCGTTCTAGGGTTAAAAAGAATTTCTTCCGTACGATGGAATCTATCCTTGATGTCTAATCTCATCCAGGAAGTTCCCGAACGATAAATCACGTTTCTTTTACGAGCTCCAACCCGTGCTCGAAGGAAATAAAAAGATTTAATTATTGTCATTAACATTTGTTTTGACGTGGACCTGTTTCTGGCCAGGTTAACGTGTTCCGGGAACGAGACCTTCGTACTATTTCACACCGGAATTGTTCTAATCTCCTTCTAAGATCCTCCGTCGTTAATTTCTTGACGGGATTATCTCCAACTTTGAACTCTGCTATACATCGTGAGCGAGATAAAAGAAAGGGAAACGAAATAAATTTCGTAAAGCGTTAGTCATTCGTTAAAGATAAACATCGTACGTACATTCGTTATGTTACATTGACGTACGCGTTACCTGTTCCAATTTAAATTTAGCAAATTTATATTTAACGGCCAGTTATGGCAAAGAGATAAAGTCAGGGTTTAAACTTTACGACTAAACGGGACTTATTAGAGTTCGAATTTCGTAATAATTGCACTACATGTTCAAATACGTATCTATGAACGATAATAGAAGAAGATAAAGGAACAAGAAGTTCTTAGTTTTTAATTTTTGAAAACAATTAACTTCTTTTTAATTAATTGCTTAATAAAAAATATAATTGGCCGTATCTTCTTATAATCTTGTGAGAGAAACATATAAAATAAGTTAGATAATGCTTGTTTAATTCAATTATTCCACTGCGAAACTAGTTAACATGTTATATGATATATGACTAGTTATATTATTTGTTATATGACTAGTTAACATATTATAAAATCAATTTTGATAATGCTTGTTTAATTCAATTATTCCACTGCGAAACTAGTTAACATGTTATATGATATATGACTAGTTATATTATTTGTTACATGACTAATTAACATGTTATAAAATCAATTTTGATGTGATTATTAATAACTGGATTATTTTTATATGACTAGTTAACATGTCATAAAATTAATTTTGATGTGATTATTAATAACTGGATTATTTTTGCGCATTTGTAGAGAATTTGAAGATGACAGAAACACATGCAATGCACATAGTACATGAAAACATATAAAATATCGAAAATGTAATAAATCTGTGCTGTAATATTTAATATATGAAACGAAACTTCATAATCTAAATTATGAATTTGCATAAAAATCCGCGGTCTATTGATAAATATTTTTATTACTGAATTTATGTACTATCAGCCATGGTTATGATACAATTTAATATTTAATATTTAAGGATTGAATCTATTTGAAACCATACGCACCGTATCAACTTACGCCACAGACATTATGCAATAACATTCCCATAAAATTTTTGAAGCCTATATACGAAACGTAATTACTTTACCTTTAAATGACTCAGTGAAAAGCCGAACTAATCCAGCGTATCAAGTTTTATACAATGCAGACAGATTAAAAAGTTGATACGAATAAATTCCTCTATAAAATCAAAAATGATTCAATAACGAGTATCAACGTCAGCTTATACAGACGTACACTCCATTATAATAAATTGAATTATATATACACGGTGTGCAAATAAGTTTCCTTTTCTTTTCTACATTGCTTCTTCTTCTTTTTTTTTTTTTTTTTTTGTATTTTGTCGTCCTATATAATTCGAAACAAATAAAAATAATTTCATTTTATCAACCCG